AAAAAGAATTATTGGTAGATGCTTAAAAAAAAAAAAAACAGTGGATGAGCTGGGCATGGTGGTGCATGCCTGTAATCCCAGCACTCGGGAGGCTGAGGCAGGAGGATCGTTGCGAGTTCAAGGCCAGCCTGAGCTCCAAAGTGAGCTCAAGTTCAGCCTGAACTGCATAGTGAGACCCTGTCTCAAAAAGACAAAAAAAAAACAGTGGATGAAAGTTTGAGGGAGAACAAAATATTTATACAATCAATGTATCTACCCACAAGATATATAAATGACAGAATAAAATAGTAGCTTTCCAGTGGAAATCCCTGGTGCGTGCCACCTTAATAAACCATCAGAGCTAACATTAGCAGCCATGGGACCAGTCAACAGCTGTGCCTTCTGGTGCGATTCACAAGATGAACCCAGTATTCTTGGTGTCCTCTTTCTGTCAATAGTGCACAGCATGGATTTAGTAATGAGGAGACATCAGAAACCCACAGTAAGATTTACTCTGCAAAATTACTAGCCCGTACTTTCCAAATGTCCATGTTACAAAACAGAAAGAAAGGCTCAGGAGCTGTCGAGGATTAAAGGAGACTAAAGGTACAAACAGCCAAATGCACGGGATCTTAGATTTTCTTTTGTTACACAGTACATTTCTAGGACAGGTCATGAAATCTTACTAATACAGTTTAGAAAACAGTATCATGTCAGTTTTAATTTTCTGATTTGTTCATGTACTAGCATAGATTAGAGAAGTATTTTTTTAGAGAAATAAAGCCAAATTATTTAAGGCCTTCATGTCTGCAACTTACTCATAAACAGTCCAAGAAAAAACACAGAAAAAGGGAGGGATAAGATTTATTATTTTTGCAACTTTTCTTTAAGTCTTAAATTATGTCAGTATATTTAAAGTTTTTTAAAAAGTGAGAATATTCAGATCCTTTCTTCTAGCTTTTCGAAGAAATGTCATTGTTAACTGTAGTCACCTTACTGTGGAATAGAACTTCAGAATTCACCCTCCCCTCTCACGGTTAACACTGTATCTCTTGGGGCTGGGGATTTAGCTCAGCGGCAAAAGCGCCTGCCTGGCAAGCGCAAGGTCGTGAGTTCGGTTCCCGGTACCGGAGAAAAACCAAAAAAATAA